ACAAAATATATATTAATTATTTATCTGTAATGCTTCCAGCCAACAGCTGGCTATTAGTAGTTACAAGCTTTGGGGGAGTCAAAAGTTATGCATGGAGTTTGACTTCTCAGGTGGTCAGCACGCACCGAAATGTTCAAGGATCCACTGTATTTTTAAAAATCAGTTGGTATGTATCTGTACATTCTAGATCTCCAGTGGTAGATTCAGTGTTCATTTTGTATCTCAATACATAATTTTTTGTATGTATCAGATGTTACATGATAAGAATGTAGCTTTTAAAAAGTTAAAACAACAAAAGAATTAGTACATAAATTTGGTCCTTACATTGAAAAAGAGAAGTAAATACAAGAAACCAAGCATTACATGCCAGCAGTATATATTTATTATTATTGATGATCAAAAGACTACAAGGCCCATAATTATGAGTATAACCACATATATGAAATACCACTTAGCGACAGAGTGAAAAGGACAGTTATATATTTATATTAAAAAAATACACGTACACACACACCCTCTCTCAAGTGCTCACCATACACTGCTACAAAAGCAGGAGGCATCAAGCTATAGAAGTTCTAATATACATAACATGTTGAAACATCTCAAGCATAAAAACCGTTAAGTTGCAAAAATAAAGTTTCTCTCTTCAAACATTTTGATCTGAGCTCAAGCAAAGCAAATAATGAACAGTGATTTTCATATTATTTCACATACTTTAAAACAATCAACATAAAAGGGACAATAGTTGCAAAAACCCTGAAAATATGGAGGTTATGGGAATGAACAATGCGTCTCATCTAAAAAAAAGTCTACAGCAGATCTGTTTCATCCTGGATCTCAAAGAGTTAAGAATCATAATTTACTATACTCAAAATGCAAGTTTAGCCAGAACAAAATGATAAACAGAAAAATCATTACCGCAAACAAGGCATCACTGCCCTTTCATTTCTTTATATAGTTTCACTAGTGCAAGAGCATCATCATTTACCTGAAAGATCTTAAGTCACAATTAAAGAGTACTCATACAAAACTATTTCCTTTTTTCTTTATAAAGTGCCACATACTATACTTTTCATTAAAAAAAACAACAACAAATAAACTAATGAAAGACCGTTTGTCTCCATCTCTTGTCAATGAGAAAAGGCCAAAGTGATTCTTTGATTCCAATTCGAAATGGTGTCCGCTGGCCAATGCCCAACGTCTCTAATTTGGAGCAGTCAAGCTGAGCATTTCTTGGACGCTGTGCTCCTAAGACAGGGCTGTCAGTAATCTTTAAAGAAAAAACACAGAAAACCAAAAGTAAATGAAGGGCCACGTCTTTAGATTTTATATATTCGCTATTTCATTTTACCCTTAGAGCAAGAAATTGGATTTTAGCATCCCTGAAAAATTAAAATGCCTTTTCCTACAAATTTCATCAATACTCATTGTCTTCTTTACACATGACAATTTAGAGAAAAGTAGCACTGAACTGCCAACATACAAGCAAAGCTCACTTTGATTTGTACTGAGAAATGAAGTTATCCAACACATTCCGAAACAACAGGAAAAAGGTTATCAATAATACATACTACAGTGACGGATCTTGACTTTTGAAAAGTAAGGTTTTAAAAGCCATGTACTTACAGGTCTTAAGTGACTGCTGGGGAGATTGAAGGCATCTGCAATTGCACATGCCATTTCATACTTAGTCATCTGTTCATTGCCAGACCAGTGAAAGGTTCCCTTAATTGATGGATCCTAAGAACAATGACACAGTAAGTTCAAAATAGCTTCAACTTCTGAGTTGAATAGAATAATAGATTTGACAAGAAAGCTTCTTTAAAAGGTCTAGGAACTAAAATGAAACCTCCTTCCCGGGAATGCTCTCTACAAGATACCTAAAATCAAATTCATACAAATATTCTCAGCTAAACACAAAAAAGCAATTTCTAGAATTTGGCCTTAAGAATTTTTAAAATAA